CACTTTAATATGCATAGAAGCTAATTTAATTTTTAGATTTCAACATAAACATCAAGGTCAGACTTAGATTTAGTGGGCAGCAGGATAACATACACTAGTGTTTTTCTGGGGACAGTTATTTAACTTAATCTTAGGAAAACTTTTTCTTTAGAGCTGAGATTAAAATTTACAATTTATATTTGTATAGACTTAAGTTGAGTGGGGGAGATATTAAAAAGTAGGTCAGTGGTTACCAGACTTACCAAATTTTAGATGCATGGAAGAACTGTAAATTCCCATAAAGCTAATCTATTCATTGACCCCCACCATTATGATAGAGATCATATGGTGACTAATGCAAGATGAAACTCTCAGCTTGGAAAGTAACAAGGAATAGGATGTAAGTATGAGCTTCTGTTTTTTATTATATTTATGGATGCCCCCTCAGAAAAATATGCAAAGGGGTAACTGGCTTGGAAATGGGTATTTATGCCTAGTAAATCCCACTCACGAGTTTTGCCTATTTGAAGCTTCTCTCAATGACAGTGCATCTGTGAATGTTCGCTGATGTTGAAAATGATGCTTTTGGACGGTGCAATGCAAACACTGCGTATGAAATGTATTTTGATGTTAGAGGTAGTAAGGTGTTGCTGGTTCTTACTGATAGACTGAGAGATCTTTAACTCAGTGTAATGTTAAATGTTCATTTTCTCTTTTACATTTTCCCATTGCTTTCAAAATCTCAAATTTACAAATAATGCCAATGAACACTTATTATCCAGATGCCCAGCCCTCACTCACATACACAGTGCTTTTTCAAGAATTAAATGTGTCTAAAAGCCCAAACAATTCTCCCAAAATTAATTTTGAGAGTTGAAAAGGTGGTCTGTGGGAAATCATTTTAGCTGAATCATTTTGGTTAGGTATAATACTCAAATTCAGGACCGAGTAAGCTTAAAAATGGTATATGATTGTGTGTGTGGTTTACCCCCTTTTTGTTTTTATTTATTTGTTAAACCCTGTCCTGTTATTGGTAAATGATGAGAAAATCATGTTTTAAGAAAAATTCAAAAATATATTTGCTTTAAAGTTTGCGAATCTGTTTGGCATTTCACTGCCTTAGTAGTATTCACTGGAGGAAATGTTTTGAATTTTCAGAATGTCTTTTAAAAATAAAAAGAAATCAAAATGAAAAACCAAAAACCGTTTTTTTTTTTTTTTTTTATTGGGTGGTTTGGCTAAAAGGGTTGTCTGAAACTCCAGTAACAAAAAATGAGCTCAGTGAACCTTTGCATGTTTTGGTATGAGTTTATTAAATAACCACAGACTGTCAGGGTATCAGCGTGGCAGGGGGCGTCCATTTACAGCACGGATGAGTCTGAAGAGAGAATAAGGTAAGATTTATGATTTTTTAATCTGTCCTTTTCTCTTCATTACTTTCTTACATAATTTTAGATTTGCCTCACTTCCTTTCTCCAGTCCTTAAAAATATACATGTATATGTAGGTTTACATGTATACATATATTTATATACATATATATATATATATCATATATAAACTTTTAGGAAACATTTAGTATGGACTAGATTCACTCACTTTTTCATTTACTTAGAACCAAACTTTTGAAATGAGTCCTGAAACAAATGGTTATTTATATAACTGAATATAAGTAGCACAGTGAAATAAGAATTAAAAATTGAGGAATTCTACAAGAAAAATTAGTATTGGAACAGCTAAAATATTCTGTAAGTATTTATTTCAGAAATAAAGAAATTTCTTTTTAAGTGTATGCCATTGAGGTAAGTTTTATATAGTCTAGCCTCATTTTACAATATAAATTTTTATATTCATTAGAACTGTTTCAGAAATGAGATATTCCCCCTTTAATAGTTGTCAGTTTCTGTCCTCTTTCTATCATTTCTCATTTCATCCCTTTGTAATTTCAATGTATTCAGTGTTGGCTTTGCCTGCATTCTACTTTGATATAGACCGGCACAGCAACTGAATATATTGCTCATACATTAGCTTCTCTTTCATAATCTGCTATCAGTTCTCTGATCCATGAGGAAGAGAAAAAGAGTATCTGACAGGTAAGATTGCTTTTTAAAGTTGTTTTAAATGCATTACATGACTGAGAAAAGAAAAATGCACATTTTATTGTTGCAGTTTAAATTTCATTTTGGTGAAACTAAACATGAAACAAAAGGGATAAATGTGTTTTGTTTTATCTGTTTGGGATATTTTTTTCTGAGTTTGTGTAGAAACCGTGTGGTACACTGGTAATCTTGTCAGGGTACAAACTTGGTCTGACTTTGTTATTTGGTTTATTTGTGAACCATGTACTTGCTCTTCCTCCCAGAAACATAGCTTGTAGGGAAGGTTAATCCAGTGTTGGCGATCCATGTCCTAGCACAGCATCTGTAAGTTAATGCACAATCGTTCCTTCCAAGGATGGATTTATCATTGTAAATATATTTTCATTGTCTTACAGGCATAATGGGCATAAGTATATTGCTTTTAAATATTTTAAATGAAACGATTACAGTTATATATATTTTGCTTGAAGTGAGTGATTTTCAAACTTTTTGTATTTGGTGGGCTGTCCATCTTGTAATGGTGGGAGTAAATGTTTCCATAGATAATAAGGCAGTTCTTGTTGAATTCAGTTTGTGTTTCTTTTGGAGGGTGGGCAAGTCGGAGGGCAGAGATTATTTAGTTGCATTATGGGTATTCTGCACCACCTGCCCTTTGAAACCCTCAACTTTAGGTAATATGCCGTCTGGGATTATAATTAGTATTAATAAATTTGTGGATTTACAGAAATCCATAATGGACAGAGTTGAGTTTTACCCAAGTGATTGTATTTATAGAAAATATTTCAAACCACTTTCTTCATGGTCATTTTAGTTAGTACATAGTCATTGAGTGGCCAGCCACACCTAACACGATCTCCCAGCATCCAAGATTGGAGATTCCTGGTCTGTGTAGAGTATATGGTTTTGCACGAAATCCTTCTAGTCTTGTGATTGCTTCAGTTTAATTTGTCACATAAAACCACAAGTATTTAATATTAATGTATCAGTGGTTTGGTGTTTTGTTCCCAGTATTGGGCATTGCGCCGGGAAATACCTGAATACTGGAGCTACAGAGTTAACTCTAAAAGTGCTTTTATTGGTTTCTAGAAACTGGAAGAAGAGAAAGGCAAAAAGGAAAAAGAAAGACAGGAAATTGAGAAAGAACGGAGAGAAAGAGAGAGGGAGCGTGAAAGGGAACGAGAAAGGCGAGAACGGGAACGAGAAAGGGAAAGAGAACGTGAACGAGAAAAGGAGAAGGAACGGGAGCGGGAACGAGAACGGGATAGGGACCGTGACCGGACAAAAGAGAGAGACCGAGATCGGGATCGAGAGAGAGATCGTGACCGGGATCGAGAAAGGAGCTCAGACCGTAATAAGGATCGAAGTCGATCAAGGTAAGGCTTTACAGAAGTCACTATTTCCTGATAGCTTTAATAGAACTACCAGGTAGTCTTCCAGAGTACCATTTGCATTCATGGAATGAGAGAATTTTTTTGTGAGTGTGAGACATTCTTACTCTGTCATGTCACATAGGCTGGAGTACAGTGGCAGACCTTGGCTCACTGCAGTCCCTGCCTCCTGGGTTCAGGTATTCCTCAGCCTCCTAAGTAGCTGGGATTACAGGTTTGTGCCACCATGCCCAGCTAATTTTTTCATTTTTGGTAGAGATGGGGATTTGCTATATTGATTAGCCTGGCTTTGAACTTCTGGCCTCAAGTGATCCTCCTGCCTCAGCCTCCCAAAGTGCTGGGATTATAGGCATGAGCCACTGCGCCTGGCCTGAGAATTTTTTTAAAGGCAACATGTCTTTGCCTCTCTCTCTCTCTCTCTCTCTCCCCCTTTCTCTCTCTCTCTCTCACACACACACACACACACACACACACACACACAAAATTGGTGAAAGTAATAATTTTCAATTCTGGTTAATTTCTGTCTAATGCCACTTTTTTTTAAAGAAACATAGTGGCCACTCAGTGTTCTGGGGAGACATGACTCCCTGCTGTCACCCCCTGGGTCCGTGGACATTTTTTTAGTTGCTCTTTAGCTGAAGTTCTGTATACCGAAACGTCAGCTCTAGCACCATGTCTTTTTAGCCACTAGCATGTTTATTTGGTTTTGTAGCCCACTGCACTTCCACAGCTTAACCTTTCTGTCTATATGTTTACTATCTACCTCTGGCTCTTTTATTCTTTGGAAGGTTTTCTTTTTTATTTAAAAGTGTTTGTGAATTCTTTTTTTTTTGAGACAAGGTGTTGCTCTGTCATCCAGCAGTGAAGTGTTGGCGATCTGCAACCTTCACCTCCCAGGCTCAAGCAGTCCTCCTGCCTCAGCCTCCTGAGTAGCTGGGATTATAGGCGTGCCCCACCAAGCCTGGCTAATTTTATATTTTTAGTAGAGATAGGTTCTTTCCCTGTTGGTCAAGCTGGTCTTGAACTCCTGACCTCAGGTGATCCCCCCTTGGCCTCCCAAAGTGCTGGGATTACAGGCATGAGCCACCGCCCCCAGCCTTTTTTTGTTTTTGTTTTTTGTTTTTTTGTTTTGTTTTGTTTTGTTTTTGAGATCATGCTCCGTCGCATAGGCTGGAGTGCAGTGATACAATCATACATCACTGTAAGCTAGAATTCTTGGGTTTAGGGGATCTTCCCACATTAGCCTCTGGAGTAGCTAAGACTACAGGCACATGCCAGCATGCCTACTGGCCTCAAGCAAGCCTCCTGCCTCAGCTTCTCAAAATGCTGGGATTAGATTTTATTACTTTTTTGAGATAGACTCTAGTTTTGTCACCTGGGCAAGAGGGCAATGGCACAATCTTGGCTCACCATAACCTCTGCCTGCCAGGTTCAAGCGATTCTCTTGCCTCAACTTCCTGAGTAGTTGGGATTACAGGTGCCCGCCACCACACCTACCAAATTTTTTTTGTATTTTTAGTTGAGATGGGGTTTCACTGCGTTGGCCAAGCTGGTCTCAAACTCCTGACCTTGTGATCCGCTTGCCTCACCCTCCCAAAGTACTGGGATTACAAACATGAGCCACTGTGCCTGGCCTAGATTTTATCACTAAATATTGAATATTGGGGAACATTCAGTGCTGATACTTGTAAGTTCTGACTTTATCCATGCAGCATCTCAAAATTCTGTTTTCCGTGTTTGCCAGCTCTTACTCCTTGATCACTAGTAAGGTAAACTATCTCTTAACGTATTCATTAGTCCTTCATGTTTCTTTTGGGAATTAATAGTTTTCCTTTTTTTCTGTTTTACACTATCATGTGATTGACTAATATTCCAGCATATGGGCATTAACTAATCATTCATTTGAATGACTTATAACTATTTTATATTCAGGATATATTTGTTTTCCGACATACCAGTAAGCATTAACACCGACATTAGAATGAATGCAGTTTAGGATTTGGGACTGGAATTATGTCTTTCTGATGTGTGTAGAGGAGGTTATATAGTTCTGTGGAAATCAAGTGCTAGATTCTGGTCTGTGAGATTTATATTATTTCATAATATATGTTGCCCCCCTTTCCTTTTGTCTTGAAAGGAAAACAGTAGACTCACAGATGTGTAAAAAAATTTTGTTTGCATTAGAGAAAAAAGTAGAGATCGTGAAAGGGAACGAGAGCGGGAAAGAGAGAGAGAGAGAGAACGAGAGCGAGAACGAGAACGGGAGCGAGAGAGAGAGCGAGAGAGGGAACGGGAGCGAGAAAGAGAAAAAGACAAAAAACGGGACCGAGAAGAAGATGAAGAAGATGCATATGAACGACGAAAACTTGAAAGAAAACTCCGAGAGAAAGAAGCTGCTTATCAAGAGGTAAATTGAGCAAATGCTTTTATTCTTAAAGCTTTGATATCCCTTAATAGGTTAATAAAAATTTATGGGACACTATATATAAATTTTTAAAGCTTTGAAAATTTAATTTTTTTAGCGCCTTAAGAATTGGGAAATTAGAGAACGAAAGAAAACCCGGGAATATGAGAAAGAAGCTGAAAGAGAAGAAGAAAGAAGAAGAGAAATGGTAAGATTCTATGCTAAAATAAGTGATTTTTCAGGTACAAAATCAGATTAGATTTTTTTTTTTTTTTTTTGATGGAGTTTTGCTCTTGTTACCCAGGCTAGAATGCATTGTCCTTTCAAAGTGCTGGGATTACAGGCATGAGCCACCTCACCCAGCCTAGATTATATCATTTATTGCTAACTACAAGCAACTTAATAATTGAAATGCACAAGTGTCTCCGTTCATGCATGATTTAATTTTTATGTATTTTGAGCAATTTCAAACCAATTTAAGTGCACCAAAATCTTTTTTCCTCCTTTCAAATTTTTGCTGCACCTATCTTTTTGTATGCTATCAAAATTAATTTGTCATATAGTAATATTTAAGTCAGGAATTTATGCAACTTTTTTTTCTCTCTCTCTCTCTTTTTTTTAAAGAGATGTGGTTTCACCATGTTGGCCACGATGGTCTTGATCTCTTGACCTGGTGATCCGCCCGCCTCAGCCTCCCAAAGTGCTTTGATTACAGGCGTGAGCCACTGGGCCTGGCAAACTTTTTTTTTTTTTTTTTTTTTTTAAAGAGTCTGCAAAATTGGACTGGGTACCCTTGTAATCCCAGCACTTTGTGGGGCCAAGACGAGCGGATCACCTGAGGTCGGGAGTTCAAAGACCAGCCTAATCAATATGGAGAAACCTCGTCTCTACTAAAAATACAAAATGAGCCAGGCGTGGTGGTGCATGCCTGTAATCCCAGCTACTCTCAAGACTGAGGCAGGAGGCCGGGCGCTGTGGCTCACGCCTATAATCCTAGCACTTTGGGAGGCCGAGGTGGGTTGATCACCTGAGGTCAGGAGTTCAAGACCAGCCTGGCCATCATGGTGAAACCCCACCTTAAAAAACAAAAAACAAAACAAAAAAGACTGAGGCAGGAGAATCGCATGAACCCAGGAGGTGGAGGTTACGGTGAGCCAAGATCATACCATTGCACTCCATCCTAGGAGGAGATTCATGTTATCTCATGGATTGTTTGCTATCAGCTTAGAGTTAGGTAGACATTACCTTTCAATTGATTGGAGTACGTGATTTAAATTTTAAATTCTGCATTTCTTAAAAGCTGTTTATTGTAGTGTTATTGTAGTATCATCTACCTTAAAATATACACGCATGCTTTTTTTTTTTTTTTTTTTTTTTTTTTAAAGGCAGAGTCTTGCTCTGCTACCCAGGCAGGAGTGCAGTCAGTGGTGCGATCTTGGCTCACTGCAACCTCCACCTCCTGAGTAGCTGGGATTATAGTTGCACGCCACCACGCCCAGCTAATTTTTGTATTTTTAGTAGAGACAGGGTTTCACCATGTTGGCCAGGCTGGTCTTGAACTCCAGTTCTCAAATGATCTACCCGCCTTGGCCTCCCAAAGTGTGCTGGGTTTACAGATGTGAGCCACCACATTCAGCCATATTTTTTTCATTTAATAAGATAATCTTCAGTTTTGTTGGTGTGTTTAGGTATTGTATTTTGAAGATTATATTCAGAGACCATATTTATTGTAGCATTGTATATATATGTGGTGTGCATTTTTCAGATAAGCCATTATTGTCTAATGTAATTTATACTTAATTATGAAGTGTATGAAAACTAAATTTAAAGGGATAAGAAAAATCTTTTTAACCAAAGTATTATCTTTATTATGGCATAGAGTAGTAGTGTTTTATATATTAGCTCATTTTACAGTAAAATCATTTTATGTACAATTGTAGAGAGGCAACTGTGCAGATAGTTCCAACTTAAGTTAGAAAATATTTTCTCTGTGGAAGACATAGCGTAGTGTTTTATATATTAGCTCATTTAATTTTATATATTAGCTCATTTAATGTTAAAAATAACATTTCCCAGGTTAGCTCAACAAGTTTATTTAAACCAAATAGCCGAATACATTATACATTGTTAAGTATTGAATTTTGGGATCCTGGAGAAACTTTCCTATATTGAAACAGCTATGTTTTTCTTTAAGTTATGTGACGAGAAATTCATGTTAATCTGCCTCTTACTCTTGGTTTATGTCTGGTTAGGAAAAACCTGTTTCCACAAAAGAGGGAAGGGTAATCTTTATTATACTTGTATGTTAATTTTATACCTTGTTCTTCATTTCCTCAAAGGCCAAAGAAGCAAAACGACTAAAAGAATTCTTAGAAGACTATGATGATGATAGAGATGACCCCAAATATTACAGGTAAAGAAGGTTTGTTCTACTTGGTTTTTTATTAGCTATAGTTTGCCCTGTCTTCACAGCTGATAACGCAGATGTACTAAGTAGAATAAGAAAACAAGAAACCTTCACATTGCATGTAGTAATTACTTCTGTAGCTGATACACTGTTTTTTTGGGGGGGAGAAAAGAGCTATCAGAAAAGGATCAACAATTCTATGCATCTTTTTTGTAGTGGGGAGCCCATAATAGTATTATATCGAATAATACTGTTTTTTTTTCATGTGTGGTAAATAGGTCTGATTTTTAAAAAATTTTTCTTAACTATTTTAAAGACAGGGTTTTAACTCAGCTGAAATGCAGTGGCATGATCATAGCTGACTGTAACCTTGAACTCTTGGGCTCAAACAATCCTCCCTCCTCAGTCTCTCGAGTAGATTGGACTATAGGTATGGGCTACCACACCTGTCTGCTAGGTCCAGTTTTGTTTTGTTTTTTTGTTTTTTTGAGACAGAGTTTCGCTCTTGTTACCCAGGCTGGAGTGCAATGGCGCAATCTCAGCTCACCGCAACCTCCGCCTCCTGGGTTCAGGCAATTCTCCTGCCTCAGCCTCCTGAGTAGCTGGGATTACAGGCACGCGCCACCATGCCCAGCTGATTTTTTGTATTTTTAGTAGAGATGGGGTTTCACCATGTTGACCAGGATGGTCTCGATCTCTTGACCTCGTGATCCACCCGCCTCGGCCTCCCAAAGTGCTGGGATTACAGGCTTGAGCCACTGCGCCCGGCCTTAGGTCCAGTTTTTATTGCAAGTTACAACTAATGTCTGTAACTATCTGGCTTTGTCTAGAAATTTTGGTCTCCTAGCAGTATGACCTCCCTTCTCTCACCCCATCTCCAAATTGATAAATTATTGTGAAGCAAGAGTTGTAACAATTGCCTTCCCTCATTCTTTGTTCCCATGGCATTTTCAAATAACTCTCATTCTAGTATTTATGACATTATGGCAAAATTGCATGTTTTGTTCTGCCTTCCATTCAAACCGTAAGTTCCCTGGGGATATAGACAGTGCCTTGATAATATTTTATCTGTAGTTTGTCCGACATGATACAGTCATCATGAAGATATTTAATTTAGTTGAATTTAATACCGTATAGCCAAAATAATTAAAACATTGGCATTATCAGCCTAAATTTAAAGAGTGCCAGGGTTTTGACTTTGTATGAAATACCATGAAATCAGTTAAATTACTGAAGACTAGAAACATAAAGTGGCAATGTATAACTTCAACATTCTGAGACATAATGAACTGCTATATAGAAAAGAACCTCTGTTTTCTGTTGATTCTGCACTACTTTTTGAGATGTTTTTTACAAGTGAATTAATTTAAATTGAGCATACAGAACCCTTAGTGCTGCTAATGCTATTTATATATTTTTTTAGCTTGGTGTCTAGGAAAACAAAAATTATTAAGTATTCCTTGTGAAATAGGCACAAAATGGGAGCCCTCTTTCTGAAAGCGACTATTTCACTTGTTTAGACACTGACTAGAAGGGCTTTAAGAATGAAGGGAACATAGTGATAAATGACAAGATGATGCTTATTTGTAACACATTTATGTGTATAGAGCACATTCTTGCGTGTTCTTTACAGAACATTAAGACATTCTTTAAACCTCTTAGCATGTAGGTTGTAGTATTAAAAAGAGGTGCTGTTGAAAATGTCATGTGCACTACTCAATGACCTGAGTATTAAATTAGGCCTTTTATCATTCACTTTTGCAGAGGAAGTGCTCTTCAGAAAAGGCTGCGTGATAGAGAAAAGGAAATGGAAGCAGATGAACGAGATAGGAAGAGAGAGAAAGAGGAGCTTGAGGAAATCAGGCAACGCCTTCTGGCAGAAGGGCATCCAGATCCAGATGCAGAGCTCCAGAGGGTAAGATAATATAACATCCACATGATTTTATTTTATTTATTTATTTATTTATTTATTTTATTTTATTTATTTTTTTTTTTGAGACAGAGTTTCACTCTTGTTACCCAGGCTGGAGTGCAATGGCGCGATCTCGGCTCACCGCGACCTCCGCCTCCTAGGTTCAGGCAATTCTCCTGCCTCAGCCTCCTGAGTAGCTGGGATTACAGGCACGCGCCACCATGCCCAGCTAATTTTTTGTATTTTTAGTAGAGACGGGGTTTCACCATGTTGACCAGGATGGTCTCGATCTCTTGACCTCGTGATCCACCCGCCTCGGCCTCCCAAAGTGCTGGGATTACAGGCTTGAGCCACCGCGCCCGGCCAATTTTTTTTATCTTTAAGATGGGGTTTCACCATGTTGATCAGGCTGGTCTTGAACTCCCGACCTCAGGTGATCCGCCCGCCTTGGCCTGCAAAGTGCTTGGATTACAGGCGTGAGCTACCGCGCACGGCCACATGATATTTTTTTTTTAAGGTTACCACGCCATCTTAAAGCCAAGTATGATGCAGTTTAATTTATGCTTAAGGGAAATGCATTTTATGCTCCATGGAACATGCTATTTTGTGGAAGGTTATTAGTACTTTTTATTTAATTACACGAGGCATCAGTATTATTTGGTTTACAACTTCATTCTAAACATCCTGCAGATGTCTTATTCTTTGTTTTCCATGTATGTCTTTTTTTCAGGCAAGAGTGTAGTGGCTCAATCTCAGCTCACTGCAACCTCTGCCTCCCTTGTTCAAGTGATTCTCCTTCCTCAGTCTCCTAAGTAGTTGGGATTACAGGTGCCTGCCGCCCGGCTAATTTTTGTATTTTTAGTAGAGGTGGGGTTTCGCCGTGTTGGCCAGGCTAATCTGAAACTCTTGACCTCAAGTGATCCACCCGCCTCAGCCTTCCAAAGTCTTGGGGTTACAGGTGTGAGCCACCATGCCCATGTGCCCAATGTTTTTTTTTTTCTTGAGACAGAGTCTGGCTTTGTTGCCCAGGCTGGAGCACAGTGGTGGAATCTCGGTTCACTGAACCCTGTCTCCTCGGTAAGTGATCCTCCTTTCTCAACCTCCTGAGTATCTGGGACACTGTACATGTGAGCCAGAATGCCTAGGTAACTTCTTTGTGCTTTTTTGTAGAGATGGGATTTTGCTGTGTTACCCAGGAGTGAGCCACTGCTCTGACCTTTTTTTGTTTTTGTTTTTCTCAAGCAATTATCTTGTGTCAGCCTCCTAAGTAGCTGGGACTACAGGGGCGCACCACCACGCCTGGCTAATTTTTGTTTTGTTTTTTGACTTTTTTGTTTTTCTATTGAGACGGTGTCTCACTCTGTTGCCCAGGTTGGAATGCAGTGGTGCAGGGCTCACTGCATGAGCCATTGTGCCCAGTTTTTTCTCTTATAAAAAAGACATTTTAAAAAAAGATCAAGTTGAATATTGTAGAGTTGTAGTTAATTGATTATTGTTTTGGTTTTAGATGGAACAAGAGGCCGAGAGGCGCAGGCAGCCACAAATAAAGCAAGAGCCAGAATCAGAAGAGGAAGAAGAAGAAAAGCAAGAAAAAGAAGAAAAACGAGAAGAACCCATGGAAGAGGAAGAAGAACCAGAGCAAAAGCCTTGTCTCAAACCTACTCTGAGGCCCATCAGCTCTGCTCCGTCCGTTTCCTCTGCCAGTGGCAATGCAACACCCAACACTCCTGGGGATGAGTCTCCCTGTGGTATTATTATTCCTCATGAAAATTCACCAGATCAACAGCAACCTGAGGAGCATAGGCCAAAAATAGGATTAAGTCTTAAACTGGGTATGTCAGCATTTCCTTCCTCCTTTATTTTCTCCCCTTCACCCGTGCAAATACCTGTATTGTGCTTTAAGGAGAATTATATATTTGTGCTTGGTTAGGTAGATAGAAGATTACTAAAAATGCCTTTCTAGCTCACGATTGTTTTCATAGTTTTACTAGTGCTCCTATATCTGCAGCTGCCTCGAGTTCTGAGAAGAAGTGAAAAGTTTAATTTTCTAGCACTTGTGAGTAGTGAGTTATTTTTTACAGTTGGGATCTTTCTCTGAGATTTGTGGAAGTATGTTTTGCACTACTTTTGAGGGATGGTGGGTTATAAAATGAAACATTTGAAAATTAAGTTATCATGCTAAGAGAGTGTTTTTACTATAGGTGCTTCCAATAGTCCTGGTCAGCCTAATTCTGTGAAGAGAAAGAAACTACCTGTAGATAGTGTCTTTAACAAATTTGAGGATGAAGACAGTGATGACGTACCCCGAAAAAGGAAACTGGTCCCCTTGGATTATGGTGAAGATGATAAAAATGCAGCCAAAGGCACCGTAAACACTGAAGAAAAGCGTAAACACATTAAGAGTCTCATTGAGAAAATCCCTACAGCCAAACCTGAGCTCTTTGCTTATCCCCTGGATTGGTCTATTGTGGATTCTGTGAGTAGGAAATTATATTTCATCATGTTATTGGGAGCAGTTGGAATATGCCATAAAAATTCATTAGAAGAAAGAAAATCTCGTTTGATTCTATTAATAACAAATAAGTAGGGATGATCATCTTTATACCAACTCAATGCCATGGTCAAGAAATTAATTGAAAAATTTTTTTTTTTTTTTTGAGACGGAGTTTAGCTCTTGTTACCCAGGCTGGAGTGCAATGGCGCGATCTCGGCTCACTGCAACCTCCGCCTCCTGGGTTCAGGCAATTCTCCTGCTTCAGCCTCCTGAGTAGCTGGGATTACAGGCACGTGCCACCATGCCCAGCTAATTTTTTGTAGTTTTAGTAGAGACGGGGTTTCACCATGTTGACCAGGATGGTCTCGATCAATTGAAAATTTTTGGTGGTACTTGAAGACTTAAGTTAAAAGCAGATGATTATATTTTGATACATATCTGTCTTAGTTCAACTTATGAATTAACATAGTTTAGTCTCAGGAAAATTGAGGCTTTAGTAAATGTGATAGAAAGATAGAATTCTTTAATTCAGTAACGGTGCTTTGTTTTGCAGATACTGATGGAACGTCGAATTAGACCATGGATTAATAAGAAAATCATAGAATATATAGGTGAAGAAGAAGCTACATTAGTTGATTTTGTTTGTTCTAAGGTTAGTCATTTATTCTCTTTCATGCCAACATTTATGTATTAAAATATTAGACAATTTCTAAAATAAAGAGCAAAAGTCTTAGAGTCAAGTTACATGATGGTTTAGGTTCAATTAAGTGATTTATATCTGCTTTTTCAAAATTATTTTTATTTTTGGTGTGTTTTTATTCATTTTTATTCATTGCAGTAAATGCAGATTTGTCTGCTTTAAATGAACCTTTCCATCCCACTTAGATTCCTCACACCATATTTCAAAGGGTCAAGGAGGATGGAATTGCCGGCTACTGCCAATTATGTGCTCTCTCTTCCTGTCCCTGAAAATGCTGTGCCATCATCTTTGGTTGGAAGAATTATGTTGAGATTTTGTGGACATAACCAGTAGCTTTTCCCATCAACTCCTTTGTCAGTCACTCATTCTTTGAATAGGATCAAAATAATCCCTTTCATATCATAATAACAATCAGTGTTTATTGACTGACAGGCTGTATTCTTGGCAGGTATTAGTTGTTTTTTGTTGTTGTTTTTTGTTTGTTTGTTTGTTTGAGTCAGAGTCTTGTCATTGCCCAGGCTGGAGTACAGTGGTGCAGTCATGGCTCACTGCAGCTTTGAACGCCCAGTGTAAAGTGATCCTCCTGCCTTTGCCTCCAGAGAAGCTGAAATTGTAGGCATGCACCACCACAGCCAACTAATTTTTTTTTCTTTTCTGTTTTTTAATTATACTTTAAGTTCTGGGATACATGTGCAGAATGTGCATGTTTGTTACATAGGTATACACGAGCCAGGGTATACCTATGGTAAGTGCTGCACCCATCAACCCGTCATCTACATTAGGTATTTCTCCTAATGCTATCCCTCTCCTAGTCTCCCACCTCCCAACAGGCCGCAGTGTGTAATGTTCCCCTCCCCGTGTCCATGCATTTTCATTGTTCAACTCCCACTTAAGAGTGAGAACATGTGGTGTTTGGTTTACACCCAGCTAATTTTTTGTATTTTTAGTGGAGAGGGAGTTTCACCATGTTGGCCAGGTTGGTCTAGAACTCCTGACTTAAACTGATTCACCCACGTTGGCCTCCCAAAGTGCAGGGATTACAAGGCGTGAGCCACGGTGCCCAGCCAAAGATAAAGTTCTATAAAATGTTAACTCTAGGCCAAGTGTGGTGGCTCATGCCTTGTAATTCCTGCACTTTGGGAGGCCCCCTGAGCAGAACACTTGTGGTCAGGAGTTTGAGACCAGCTTGGCCAACATAGCAAAACCCCATTTCTACTAAAAAGACAAAAATTAGGTGGGCGCAGTGGCAAGTGCCTGTAATCCCAGCTGAGGCAGGAGACTCACTTGAACCTAGGAGGCAGAGATTGAACTGAGCCCTGAGGCAGAAGACTCACTTGAACCTAGGAGGCGGAGACTGAAGTGAGCCCTGATAGCACCATTGTCCTCCAGCTTGGGCCATTAAGAGCGAGATTCCTCATCTCAAAAAAAAAGAAAAGAAGGAACTTTATCTTCTTCCAACCAAACACCCTTAGGATGTGTGTCACGAATATTATACCCATTTTATACATGAGGAAATTGAGGTTTAAGGAGAGATTGTGTCTTGGTTATGCTGTATAATGAGTCTAGTCTCTGAAACCTATGCTCTTAATCACTAAGGCATATCATATCCTTCCATTGTCTCCTAAAACCATAGTCTTAAGTTGAATAAACAGTTAACATAGTAGAAGCACCGTATTCCTGTAAAGGTATACCTATGCTATTTTTCTGTCAGTAGTGCTCTTTTGATGTCATGAACAGTAAATTTCCTTCTTTTCTTCAACTTTATAATTATTGTGGCATTAAAACTGTGTCAAATTTGACTTAAAATTAGACAACAGACAAACATAGAGATTAAGATCCTAGGTTCTGGTGCCTCTTTCAGAGTAATAATCTGAAAATTAAAACATTTGTGGAATGGTTCCTTAGCCACAAGAAATTCCTGTCTGAATTCAGGGGTTAATATCTTAAAATTTCTTGACTATATTGGTAATACTTTGTTTATTTTTCACATGAAAATTATTTGTTTCTTTCAGGTTATGGCTCATAGTTCACCCCAGAGCATTTTAGATGATGTTGCCATGGTAAGTTAGAAATTCACTATTTTTCATCACTATTTTAAAAAAAAGTTTTTTGTCTTTTTTTTTTTTTTTTTTCTCTTTTGAGACAGAGTTTCACTCTTGTTACCCAAGCTGGAGTGCAATGGCACGATCTCGGCTCACTGCAACCTCCGCCTCCTGGGTTCAGGCAATTCTCCTGCCTCAGCCTCCTGAGTAGCTGGGATTACAGGCACGCGCCACCATGCCCAGCTAATTTTTTGTATTTTTAGTAGAGACGGGGTTTCACCATGTTGACCAGGATGGTCTCGATCTCTTGACCTCATGATCCACCTGCTTCGGCCTCCCAAAGTTCTGGGATTACAGGCTTGAGCCACCGCGCCCAGCCCAGTTTTTTGTCTTAAAATAGAGATGGGGTCTCACTATGTTGCCCAGGCTAGTCTTGAATTCCTAGGCTGAAGTGATCCTCCTGCCTCAGTCCCCCAAAATGTTGAGATTACAGGCATGAGCCCCACCATACCTGGCCAGAAGTGCACTATTCTTAATATTTTAATTGGCATCTATAAAAACTCACTTTTGAATTTGATTCACTTCCTGCCTATTTTTGTTCCAGAATCTTTTTTATGCCTGAATTAAAACTTGAATGGCTGGGCACAGTGGCTCGTGCCTGTAATCCCAGTACTTTGGGAGGGTGAGGTGGGTGGATCACAAGGTTAAGAGATTGAGACCGTCTTGGCCAACATGGTGAAACCCCATCTGTACTAAACAAAAATTATCTGGTCGTCGTTGTGTGCGCTGTAGTTCCAATGGGAAGCTGAGGCAGGAAAATCACTTGAACCTGAGAAGAGGAGGTTGCAGTTAGCTAAGATCACACCACTGCACTGCATCCTGGCGACACAGCAAGATTCCGTCTCAAAAAAGCCAAACAAACTTGAATATACATTTAAAAAGGTTAAAGGCATCCACAGCAACAAATCATTACCTAGCACTTAAAAATTGGGGTTTAATTCTTGTCCACCAGTTCCATTCATGTTTTCCCCATGCCCAGTACAGTGTTCTAGAAACATAAGTAGAACAAATGACCTGTAGTAGTGGAGAGACAGGTATTCAGATACTGATACCTTGATGTATTTGTTTGAATTAGATACGTAGAAACGATAATGGAGTTAGAGGAGATAGGGCATCTGATAACATTGATAGCAATTGGGTTAAGCATCACAGGGATTACCACAGAAACTGAGACATGTAGGTTGTATGTGTATGAGTGTACATATATATATAAATATATATATATATATATATATATAAATGCACACACATTTTTTTAAGCTGGATACATGCGCAGGTTTGTTATGTAGCTAAATTGTGTCGTGGGGGTTTGTTGAACAGATTATGTTATCACCCAGGTACTAAGCCTAGTATTCATTAGTTATTTTTCCTGATCCTCTCCCTCCTCCCACCCTTCACCCTATGGTAGGCCCCATTGTATGTTGTTCCCTTCTTTGTGTTCATATGTTCTCATCATTTAGCTCCCACTTATAAGTGAGAACATGCTGCATTTAGTTTTCTGTTTCTGTGTTAGTTTGCTAAGGACAGTGGCTTCCGGCTCCATCCATGTCCCTGTAAAGGACTATTTCTTTATTGCTGCAAAGTTGTACATATATGCTGGTATCCTAACATCTGTTGGACTGGCAGGGATTCTGTCAAATTCTATTGCATTTAATTTGGGATTATAGTCAGTGGTCACATGTGTTTAACACTGTGATTTTGTGAGACAGGAAAGGAGAAGAAAATTGATGGTAAGGGTTGCGAGAGAGATTGAACTATGAGCTCCAAGTTAGGAAGAGAAGAAAATAATACCCAAACAGAGCTGGTGGTTTGAATGAATTAAGGACTAGTGGTTCCAATGAAGTTGTGGAAGGTGAATTGTAATAAAAGAACTGAAAGGAGAGGTTATGATCAAAGTGTAGAAAGTTCAAGTCTGTATGTGATAGGTCACTGTAGATGACGGCAAGGTGCAAAGTATGGCTATGGGAAATTCCTGAGTGTTGGGAGTTGGATTGGAGAGAAATACTCAACTCGTTGCCAGAGTACTCATTTATGTGGGAGAAAGACTGGGTATTTGCTAGATAGCTGCTCTTGCAGTGGATAGGGTGGTGAGAGCTCATGAACTTCCATGGAATTGTTGTTATTTATTTATTTTTTTTTTAACAAACAGTATATAAAGCAGAGAGAAAAACGTGAAAAGGTAAAAATAAGGCAACAGTGAAGATTCACCAGTCATTCCTGTGGAGACTAAGACACTAAGAGTGAGAGACTCCCTGAGACTCCCTAAGAAGTGTCAGCGCTCTAGGAGATAGAGGAGGGTTTCTGTTAAGAGGAAAAACCTAGATAAAGTAGTTGTCAGTGTCTCGTGTAAAATGGAATAGGGCTCCAAAGGGCAGAGTGAGAAGGCAGCAATGGGAAGATAAGGAAGGAAGAATCATCAAGCATGATTTGAAATGGTAGATGTCTGGGAGAATTTGTACTTCCAGCTGTCTCCGAAGATGCCAGGGAAGGACATACTGGGGTTTATAACTAAAAGGAAGGATTGTGAGGTCAAGCTGTTTTGTGTCCAGGCATTATATGATGTCTAAAGCCAGATAACATCCCTTTTCTGCTGCCTCACTAGCTGAATGCAGCTGTTGTTTTAGAACACCTCATAAAACATTTGTGAAAACTTCATTGCCTCAGAGGAAAGGAGAAATGTGATGAATAGATTTCATTCCTTGGGGCTGGATTCTGAACTTGACCGAACTTCTAGCCCCTTTTTTCTTGGGATAAAGGGTGTCATAGTTAGGCCTGAGTAAAGGCATTTTTAAAATAAAACAGGGTGCTAGTGTTTGGCCTCAGCAGAGTTCCCAACATAGTAAAGATTTCATGTCAATATTAATCTAGATTTGTTGATCTGTTAATGTTGCTATTTGAAGTATATTTAGGCCCCTGTTGATTATCATTTTGTGGCTCATTGTTGATTAGAATGGGAGGAAACCAGTTGAGCTCGTGTTGTCAAACACTTCTGCTAGAAAGCTCATGGGCCTTGTAAATATTTCTTGAATAAATGAGGAGACTGTATTTTTAGCGTGAGTACTGTTTTTGTTTATATATAAAAAGATGGGGTTTCACCGTGTTGGTCAGGGTGGTCTTGAACTCCCAACCTCAGGTGATCCGCCTGCCTTGGCCTCCAAAGTGCTTGGATTACAGGCATGAGCCACCACACCCGGCCGCGTGAGTACTGTTTTAACAAAGGTCTGACTTTTTTATACTTTTCTTCATTTTATGTAAATTAAATGAAGTTCGGTTGCATTTTGTGCCTGTATCTCTCTGAAGTATGACTCTGATGTTAACTAGTGTTACAACAGAATTCTTAAACTAAGGTCAAATCTGGCTCATAGAAATCTGATTAAAAGTTCTTTTTTTTTTTTTTTTTTTTTTTTTTTTTTTTTTTTTTTGAGATGGAGTTTTGCTCTTGTTGCCCAGGCTGGAGTGCAATGGCTCATCAAAACCTGCACCTCTCGGCTTCAAGCGATTCTCCTGCCTCCGCCTCCTGAGTAGCTGGGACTATAGGCATGTGCCACCATACCCGGCTAATTTTGTATTTTTAGTAGAGACAGGGTTTTTCCATGTTGGTCAGCCTGGTCTCGAGTTCCTGACCTCAGGTGATCTGCTTGCCTCGGCCTCTTAAAGTTCTGGAATTATAGGCATGAGCCACCATGATTGGCCTAAAAGTTCTTTAATTAATTGCCATAATTGAGACAAATTTCTTTCTTTTGTTTCCTTCCTTCCTTCCCTGCTTCCCTCCCTCCCTCCCTTCCTTCCTTCCCTCCCTCCCCCCCCCTCTCTCTCTCTTTCTTTCTTTTCTCTCTTTTCTTCTGTTTTCTCTTTCTTTTCTTTCAAGTCTTGCTCTGTTTCGCAGTTTGTATGGAGTGCAGTGGCATGATCTGAGTTCACTGCAACTCCCTCTTCTTGGGTTCAAGTGATTTTCCTGCCTCAGGCTCCCAAGTAGCTGGGGTTACAGGTGCCCACCACCATGCCTGGCCAATTTTTGTATTCTTAGTAGTGAAAGGGTTTTGTCATGTTTGGCCAGGCTAGTCCTGAACTCCTGATCTCAAGTGATCCTCCCACCTCACCTTCCCAAAGTGCTGGGATTACAGGCATGAGCCACTGTGCCCAGCCTGACAGAATTTTTTTTTATAGAAATCAAAATTTCTGGCCTCTCCTAGATACTTACTTACTTATTTATTTGTTTATTTATTTATTTATTTTTTCTTGAGACGGAGTTTCGCTCTTGTTACCCAGGCTGGAGTGCAATGGCGCGATCTCAGCTCACCGCAACCTCCGCCTCCTGGGTTCAGGCAATTCTCCTGCCTCAGCCTCCTGAGTAACTGGGATTACAGGCACACGCGACCATGCCCAGCTGAATTTTTGTATTTTTAGTAGAGACGGGGTTTCACCATGTTGACCAGGATGGTCTCGATCTCTTGACCTCGTGATCCACCTGCCTCGGCCTCCCAAAGTGCTAGGATTACAGGCGTGAGCCACCGCGCCCGGCCGACTTATTTATTATTATTATTATTTTTTATTTTTTTATTTTTTTATTTTTTGAGAGGGAGTCTTCCTGTGTCGCCTAGGCTGGAGTGCAGTGGCCCAATCTTGGCTCACTGCAGCCTCTGTGCATAGTATTACAAGCATGCACCACCACGCCTGGCTAATTTTTGTATTTTTAGTAGAGATGGGGTTTCACCATGTTGGCCAGGCTGGTCTCAAATTCCTGACCTCAGGTGATTAACCCACCTAGGCCTCCCAAAGTGCTGGGATTACTAAGTCATTATGCCCAGCCTTCTAGATACTTATTAAGCGCTTGTTATATACCAGACACTCTTCAGAGCACTTAACTACATAACAACTCTTTTAATTTCCACTTAGTACCTACTGCTGTGGTGTTGCTGTGTCCCCTCCACTTTACAGATGAGGGAACTGAGGCTCAGGTTAAGTAGCCCAGCCAAGGACCTATAGCTCGTAAGAGACAGAATAAGTGCAATTTGAACCTATGTAGTCTGACTAGATATTGCGTACTCTAAATTCCTACCCTGAACTGCCTCTACGAAGACCTGGGAACACTGGACCACATTTTGTCAAGACAAAGATACCCTGGAGCATAGTCATAGCTGTCCCCTTTAGAAGGGAGCAAGGTATTCCATTTCACCTCACAGCAGTCCTAATGTAGAGGGCCAGATGTGTGTGGGATGAGGGCAGGAATAGTGGTGGGGACACAAGGAACCTAACTCATAAGTAGAGAGGAAGACAATTTATTCTCCTGTCACTGTAAAAAGACTTGGTATTCAGTAGTCACGTGTGCTCTGTGATGATGATTGCATTTGCTTATTCTGTTTACTATACTAAATACTGACATTCTTATTTAATGTTTAGTGTCACATACACAATAAATGCTGGTTAATATGGTATGGTTGGGCTGTGCACAGCAGCTCACACCTGTAATTTCAGCACTTTGGCAGTCTGAGGTGCGCAGGTTGCTTGAGCCCAGGAGTTTGAGACCAGCTCGGGCAACATAGTGAGACCCTATCTCTACTAAAAAAGCCCAAATTTTAGCCAGGAGTAGCAGTGTGTACCTGTAGTCCCAGTTACTGGCTAGGCTGAGGTGTGAACATCACTTGAGCCTGGGTGGTCAAGGCTGCAGTCACCATGATCATACCACTGCACTCCAGGCTGGGTGATGAGAGATCCTGTCTCCAGGAAAAAAAAAAAGTTTGTGAAATTGTGTTTTTGGGGATAAATGAGATGCTGTATTGTTACTATGTAATTGTATATTTATTTAGTTCTTCATAAATTACTATGTTTTTTATGAAAAGTATATGATTTCCTTAGGAACTAGTTTTGTCAGACATGTGTAAATGCAGTATCTGTAAAGGTAAAAGAATAAAAGGCAGATCACAAAAATATTGTAGTGTTTATGTTTAGTAAGCCATGGAATTTTGAATTTTTTTGCTCTTGGTAATTTACTATCCATCCATCCATCCATCTGTTTATTTTTGAGATGGAGTCTTGCTCTTGTTGCCCAGGATGGAGTGCAATGGCGCAATCTCGGCTCACCACAACCTCCGCCTCCTGGGTTCAAGCGATTCTCCTGCCTCAGCCTCCCAAGTAGCTGGGACTACAGGCATGTGCCACCACCCCTGGCCAATTTTTGTATCTTTAGTAGAGATGTAGTTTCTCCATGTTGGTCAGGTTGGTCTCGAACTCTTGAGCTCAGGTGATCCGCCCCTCGCTGTCCTTCCAAAGTGCTGGGATTACAGGTGTGAGCCACTGCACCCAGCCCATTTATTTATTTTGAGTTGGCGTTCTGCTCTTGTTGCCCAGACTAGAGTGCGATGGCACGATCTCAGCCCACTGCAACTCCCACCTCCTGGGTTCAAACGATTCTCCCACCTCAGCTTTCCGAGTAGCTGGGATTACAGGCACTCCCCACCATATCCCAGCTAATTTTTGTACTTTTTAGTAGAGATGGGGTTTCACCCGAAGTGTTGTCCAGGCTGGTCTCAAACTCCTGACCTCAGGTGATCCACCCACCTCCACCTCTCAAAGTGCTGGGATTACAGGTGTGAGCCATCGCCCCCGGCTCATATTTATTTGTTTGTTTATTTATTTTAAGACGGGGTTTCACCGTGTTGGTCAAGCTGGTCTTGAACTCCCGACCCCAGGTGATCCGCCCACCTTGGCTTCCAAAGTGCTTGGATTACAGGCATGAGCCACCACGTCCGGCCTAGGAAAATTTTCTTTAAGTCATTTTAGTGAAAATTAAACTACTTCCTAAAGAAAACAAATATTTGTTATAAAGAACATAAGTAATTTAGGAAGAACTAGTATATAACTATATAATAACAATACAGAATCTCATATATTACCCCGCTCCCCGCCACCCCGCCAAAACAACCTTAAAATCCTAACTAGCATTTAAGTAATAAGTGCTTAATAAGTCAGTGGATGAAAAACTGTTCTACTAGTCACTGTTGTTGGGAGATGATGATGATTGCTTCTCTTACATGTGTTGCTGTTTTGTTTCCTCTTTAGGTACTTGATGAAGAAGCAGAAGTTTTTATAGTCAAAATGTGGAGATTATTGATATATGAAACAGAAGCCAAGAAAATTGGTCTTGTGAAGTAAAACTTTTTATATTTAGAGTGTTCCATTTCAGATATCTTCTTCACCACCCTTTTAAAGACTTCAAATTTTTCTTTGTCTTCGAAGACATTGTGAGAGCTGTAATTTTTTTTTTATTGTAGAAAATGTGAATTTTTTTGTCCTCTAATTTGTTGCCCTGTGTACTCCCTTGGTTGTAAAGTCATCTGAATCCTTGGTTCTCTTTATACTCACCAGGTACAAATTACTGGTATGTTTTATAAGCCGCAGCTACTGTATACAGCCTATCTGACATAATCTTGTTCTGCTGATTTGTTCCTTGTAAATATTAAAACGACTCCCCAATTCTTTTGCAGAATTGCACTTAATATTGAAATGTACTGTATAGGAACCAACATGAACAATTTTAATTGAAAACACCAGTCATATCTATTACCACCCCTACTCTCTTTTGATCAGAAATGGCAAGCCCTTGTGAAGGCATGGAGTTTAAAATTAGAATGCAAAAATTAGCAGACAATCCATTTCTACTGTATTTCTGTATGAATGTGTTCTATGAATGTATGTGTAAAAGTCTTTCTTTTCCCTAATTTGCTTTGGTGGGGTCCTTAAAACATTTCCTAACAGAATTGTAAAGGAAAAGTTACATTGTTCGAACCCAAAATGTCTGGTATAATTAGGTTGTTAGTTTCTCATAGCATGGTATTCTGGTGTAGTGAGCAACAGTCTGCTAACTGGATGGGGTTTCCATATTAATAAGCTGGCTGCTTCAGTTTCTCTTTTAAAGGAATATGGATCATAGTGATTTTCCCCTTTAATTTTATTGCTCAGAAATGAGGCATACCCTAAAATCCTGGAGAGTTGTATTTAATGCATTTTTGCACTAATTGGTCCTTAGTTTAATTATATCCCTTTATTTAACAAAAAATTCATTTCAAAAGTATAAGTGAAAACCCCCTTTAGAACAAAACAAAAAATGAAACTAGGCAAATTGACAGACAATGAGAGTTTTACAAACATGATAGGTATTCTGCTTGGCAACTTACAAGTTATATTTACATCTTATTTAAGGATGAAGGTAAATCATCAAGGTAATTACCAACCACTAATTTTTTTGTTTCATTTTTGTCCTGTAGAAGGTTTATATCGTTTTGCCTTGGCTCATTAGTGTTTAAAAATGCACTGATGATGTGCTCAGAGAAATTCCTGGGACTCTCTTTGTTGTAGATCAGAATTTCACCAGGGAGCAAAATTACCTGAAAATGTAACAAGTTTCAAACAGCTTTTCACACAAATTAGTTGTAACTGTTCCCATGTCTGAGTACTTATTTAAAAGAAAGGTAAAGATTGGCCTGTTAGAAAAGCATAATGTGAGCTTTGAATTACTGGATTTTTTTTTAAACACCTTGAGAGGACATTTGAAAAAACTGTTCTTACACTTGAACCCTGACATGGTTCCATTATGTAAATATTTCAAATATTAAAAATGTATATATTTGATCCTGGGGACTCATATTCTTTCAGAATCATGTAAATAAATGGCATCGTATTATAATTGTGTGGTGCATACTAGAAAACTTAGAAATATGGGCTGAGTTTTTTTATGGACATGATTTTTATGACTATTGGTATCTAAAGGTCAAGGAAGCCATTTGCATTATTTTTGATGGATCTACTATATATCTGCGGAAATACCTCTTTTTATTATATTTTGAATTCTGGTTTCTCGAGGGAAAATTTCGGAAAAGATGCCCCTTGCCATTTTCAAGTTTCTTTTTCAGCTTTTTCTCAGACACACCCCCAAGCTAAGATCTTGTTTGAGCAATTTATTGTGTCTGTCTTTTTTTTTTTTTTAACATACTACAATTACTGTTTCTAAGGCATCATATTATGTTGTTTTTATTTAGCCACTACTAACATGAAGATTTATTCAGGTAGATTTGATTTCCTTTCCTTGGTTTCTTCTCCTGCTCTGTCAAGTAAACTTATCCTAAAGGACCACTCTAAAAACAAAGCACATCTCTTAATCTGAAACCCTTAGGGAGGTATACTATGTACTGCATAACATCTCCAATGAGGTTTATGGTAGGACCTCTACTAAACATATGAGTTTGTGCAAGTTTATGTATTAAAGTTTCTGCTGCAGAGTGAAAATTGCTACAGTTAAGTGGGGTAGAGACTGTTAATCACTTAATGCCAGTGTAAATCATGTTTTGTGACCAAGCTTCAGTAAAAGCCTTTAGATTGTCAGAGTTGCCTGTTTTTTAGAATTGTAGATATATAAAAACTTAAACATTAAATAGGCATATTCTAGTGCCTGAAAATACACATAAGAAATTTCTGTCAAGTTGTTTGAACTTTGTGGGTTAATTTTACTATAACCACTTAGTTTGAAAACCTTATACAGTATGAATTCATTTTTCCTTTTCAAAGTGAATTGTTATATAAAGAGCATGAAAGTCTTTTTTTTCCTGGAGACGGGATTTCACCCAGGATGGAGTTCAATGGCTCATTGCAACCCCGGCCTCCCAGATTTATGCAGTTCTCCTGCCTCAGCCTCCTGAGTGGCTAGCATTACACAGGCGCCTGTCACCATGCCCAGCTAATTTTTTGTTTTAGTAGAAACCCCATGTTTCACCATGTCCCCAGGCTGGTCTCAAACTCCTCGCCTCAGGTGATCCATCCACCTGGGCCTCCCAAAGCGTTGGGGGTACAGGTGTAAGCCGCCACACCCAGCCAAGAGCATGAAAATCTTAACAACTAGTCTTGATCTGGCAATTAGAAAACTACTTTTCATTATTTGTCCCTAAAAAGAAAATAAACTATGTTCGTGTGTTTACAAGGAGGAAAGGTAAGCTTGAAGTTTTTCTCTAACTTTAATGTGACCCCCAAATCACCTGCGGAGTGCTTGTAGAAACAGAGACTCTGAAGTAGCAAGGCTGGGGTGGCGTCACAGGCTTTGCATTTCTACACAGCTCCCAGCTAATGTTTTTGCCAGCTGATCCAAGGACTACATTTTGATTAGCACTTTAAGGTGTCTGTTCAGTATTATTTTATCCTAACAGACTATATAAATGCAGCTGAATTTTCCTTTAAGTAGATTTTAAAGAGAAACATTTTTTGAGGCAAATATACATGATTAGGAACATAATGTAATACTCCAAAATTATGCCTAAGGAAACCCCAATATTCTAGGCTTTATTCCCAGCCAGCCCTGAAGATTTTTTCCATAGATAAACTTTGTTATTACTTATTCTGGATCTTACAGCACTTTCCTATAAACCAAGTGTAAGCTAATTATTTTGTGAAGAGTGCTGTTTCAGGTGTTAATCTGGCATGAATACTAGATACAGTAGAAAAAACATTTAGCTTGAGAGCCAAATTGAACTAGACAGTATCATTTTTGTCTACTTATGGAGTGAATTTAATGCAAATACATGTAAGCAGGTATACAATGTTGAGGCTTATTTTCTCAACTGTTTTTTTTTTTTTTTTCCACCCCTAGACGGAGTTTCGCTCTTGTTACCCAGGCTGGAGTGCAATGGGGCAATCTTGGCTGACCGCAACCTCCGCCTCCTGGGTTCAGGCAGTTCTCCTGCCTCAGCCTCCTGAGTAGCTGGGACTACAGGCACACACCACCATGCGCAGCTAATTTTTTTGTATTTTTAGTAGAGACGGGGTTTCACCATGTTGACCAGGATGGTCTCGATCTCTTGACCTCGTGCTTTACCCACCTCGGCCTCCCAAAGTGCTGGGATTACAGGCGTGAGCCACCGCGCCCGGCTATTTTCCCAACTATTTTTAACAAGTTTTATGAATGTCCCCAGTTTATACCCAAAAAAAAGCTGAAAGGTTTCATGTAAAATTGATTACAAACTTCTCTGGATTGTATTTCAGTCTTCTGCTAAGTATGAAATTGACAAATAGTTTTGCTCAACGAAAGATGATGAGGAATTGATTTGTGAATGTCACTGGAGATGAAGGTATGAGAAAGAATCAGAAGCCGCCAAAGAAACAGTCTAGGTGTCAAGAAGAAAACGGGCAGTTACATAGCAAACCCAGGAACTATTAATGTAGCAATCACACTGTAGATCAAAGTGAACTTAACTTTTTGATCAACTGACAGATTTTTTAAAAATGTGATGATGGTAACATGCTGATATTTATGTTAATTTATTTGCATTTGAATGCTTGCATTTTCATTTTTTTTTTTTTTTTTTTTTGAGACGGAGTTTCGCTCTTGTTACCCAGGCTGGAGTGCAATGGCGCGATCTCGGCTCACCGCAACCTCCGTCTCCTGGGTTCAGGCAATTCTCCTGCCTCAGCCTTCTGAGTAGCTGGGATTACAGGCACGTGCCACCATGCCCAGCTAATGTTTTGTAGTTTTAGTAGAGTCGGGGTTTCACCATGTTGACCAGGATGGTCTCGATCTCTTGACCTCGTGATCCACCCACCTCGGCCTCCCAAAGTGCTGGGATTACAGGCTTGAGCCACCGCGCCCGGCTTTTTTTTTTTTTTTT